TGGTCATCGGCGACGGCATCCTCACCCCCTCCATGTCCGGTAATTTCCCATTTCTAATGACAGTAACAAATTTCTGCTTTTAGATTCGATCCTTGCAAATGGAAGTGTACAGGGTAGGTGGTGAGCTCACTTGGATAACCTTCATTTCAATAAATTTATTAATATTTTTAGATTCAATTATTAAATTTTTTTAATTTTTTAATAAATATACCATGAAATTATTAATTAAAAAAATATATCTATTACTATCTATTTTTAAAATTAGGTTTCTGTGGGGGAATCAATAGTCAAATCGTGTTTGTTAGCTTATGATTTGCTAACTCTTAATTTAGAAATTGTCCGCCATTGATGTTTCCTCTTATTTTATTTTCTGCTGTCATTCAGTGTGCTGGAGGAATCATGTTGTTTGTTCGCTCAATTATGATTCCCAGACTCTTACTTATTTAGAATTTTGTATATGTTTCTAAACTTATTTTATTGTATAATTTAGTTTGACTTTTGACTTTTTTGTTCCCTGATTTCATTTTCTTTTGAAATTAATTGCAGTGTTATCAGCTGTTGGTGGAGTTAAGCAAGCTTCAAAAAACATGACACAAGGTATTCACTTGTTTAATATTTTCAAAGGAAACTGCTCTGTTTCATTTGTCTGCATGATTTATAGGCCTGGCTATTGGATTTTGAATATTCAGATTGATGATGCAGGTTAAATTGGAATCTTGTCAATTGTTTATTGCTGCTGGTTTAATTTTCTATTGTTACGAACCGTAAAGAACTAGGAAATGTTACAATTGGTAGTTCAGTGATGACAATTTTCATAGTTTTTGCCTTGTGTCAATGTCAAAGAAATATTGGCCAAAATAATAATAATAATTATTATTATTGTTATTATTATTATTAATGCCAAAGAAACAACATAACTGTTGCAGCTTTCAGATGCAGTCTGAATCAAGGTTTAATTGGGAAAAATTATAGAGAGAAAATGTTGGGTATTTTATTTGTCTGTGATAGTCAAATTGGATTGATTGTCTCCTGAATTTTACATCCGTGGTCCAACCCATTTTTGATGTGGACCATATAGTATATATCTAGTTGGGGCAGGCCGTAGGCCTGATGTATAATTTTGGCTTAACTAGCTGCTAGAGTTTGGACATAACAAACACATATAACACATATCGGCAGCTGAGAAAGGAGGAAAATCAAGCTCTGCTAATTAAGCATTTTGACTTTGACAGGGTTGGTTGTTGTGATATCAGTAGCCATATTGATCTGCCTCTTTTCTGTTCAAAGATTTGGTACTGACAAAGTGGGTTACAGCTTTGCTCCCATAATCTGTGTTTGGTTCTCAATGATTGGTGTAATTGGAGTCTACAATTTCATAAAGTTTGATCCAACAGTTATCAAAGCCTTAAATCCAAAGTACATTGTAGATTACTTCAGTAGGAACAAGAAGGATGCATGGATTTCCCTTGGAGGTGTCGTTCTTGCTATAACAGGTTTCCATTTTTTTTTTCTCCTATTTAATTAATTTATTTTCCCCTGTGAAATTTTCTGTACATTAGAGTTGTGACTTATATATTGGTTATTTGATGCAGGAACTGAAGCATTATTTGCTGATGTTGGCCATTTCACAGTTCGGTCCATACAAATTAGCATGTGCACCGTTACCTACCCAGCTCTGATATTTGCATATACTGGACAAGCCTCTTTCCTTCGCAAGCACAATGATTTTGATACAGTTCAAGATGCCTTTTACAAATCAGTGCCCAACCATATCTATTGGCCAATGTTTGTAGTGGCTGTCATGGCTTCAATTATCGCAAGTCAGGCAATGATATCAGGGACTTTCTCTATAATCCAGCAATCACTCTCGCTGGGATGCTTCCCTCGTGTAAAAGTTGTTCATACATCACCAAAGCATGGTGGACAAGTTTACATTCCTGAAGTAAATTACCTTTTGATGCTGGCTTCTATAGGTGTGACTGTTGGTTTTAGGACAACTGAAAAGATTGGCAATGCATATGGTAATTAATCATCCAAAATACCCTACCCTGCATCTTCTTTTGATTTTTGCACTGAAAGTGGTAATGAGTTAATTTCTTCATGCAGGGATTGCGGTGGTCTTTGTGATGACTCTCACATCATCCTTGCTGGTACTCATCATGATAATGATATGGAAATCCAGCATATTTTTCATAATCATCTATGTGCTTGTCATTGGATCTGTGGAGCTAATATATTTAAGCTCAGTTTTGTACAAATTTGATCAAGGGGGATACTTACCATTGGCCTTTGCAGCGGTTCTGATGACTGTAATGTATGTTTGGAACAACGTTTATCAGAGAAAGTACTATTATGAGCTTGATAACAAGGTTTCTCCTGAAATGTTCAAGGAGATTTCTGCTGAGAGAAACATCTCTAGAATTCCTGGCCTTGCCATGTTTTACTCAGAGCTTGTTCAGGGTATCCCCCCCATCTTCAAGCATTATCTGGGCAATGTACTTGCTCTGCACTCAGTCCTCGTTTTTGTCTCCATCAAATCACTTCCCATCAGCAAGGTTCCAATGGAAGAGAGGTTCCTTTTCCGAAGAGTAGAACCAAAAGACCTTAACGTGTTTCGCTGTGTTGTCAGGTATGGATATACAGATGTGCGTAATATGGAGGTGTCATTTGAGGAGATGTTAATTCAGAGGCTGAAGGAATTCATAAGAGATGATCACACGTGGTCATCTCAAATGATGGCTGGTAATAGTAAGACTGCAGATAATGAAGATCAAGAATTGGAGGAAGTAACTGTTAACGGAGAGAATGAAAAAGAGGATCAAGAGCAGCGACTAGAGGAAGTGGAAAGAGAAATCGAAGCTATAGACAAGGCATGGCATGCTGGAGTCGTTCACCTGTTTGGTGAGAATGAGGTGGTTGCAGGGAAAGGATCAGGTATAGGTAAGAGGATTTTGATAGACTATGCTTACAATTTCTTAAAGAGGAACCTGAGGCAGACTGATAAAGTGTTTGACATTCCTCACAAACGGATGCTCAAAGTTGGGATGACACATGATCTTTAGAACATGTAATGTATTGTAGAGAACGGAATCAGATCCAAGTGAAGGTGGAGCTAAGCTTTGCAAAATGTAACGAATAAAACAAATCCCAAAGGTAGATCTAGTTTCCTTGTCCAAATAATGAAGTAATATATGAAAGGTTGGTATTGTATTTCTGCTCAATCCTTATTAATGTTTGATTGAGTCTACTTAATCATGATTTCTGTTGTCTTCTACCTCTCTCATTCCTCAAACTGAATTATGAGGATGAAATTCTGTCTTCAACCCCAGCAGGTCTAAACAAGTTGAGTGGTGCTGGTGGCATTACATCAAAAATATTAGATGTCATATGGAGAACTGTAGTTAAAAATGAAAGTCATTCTTATGACAAATTTTGCTAAGCAAAGAGAGGTTTGTGTTAAGGCAGAGTAGATGGTAGAGCCGGCCAAGGGTTAACCAGGAAGAAGAAGACGTCCATCTGAGCCGATACTATAACCATTCAAGGAATTCTTGGGGCACAAGTATATATATATATTTATTGAAACGAAGTAGTTTTGTAATTATTTTCCTTTTAATTTTTAGGAGGTGAGGTTGATAGGTACTATTTTTTATATATAATATGTATGTAAATATATGTATAATATGTGTGTCTAACTAATTTATTTAGTTTAATCAATTTATAACACTTAAAGTAGTATGATGTTATTACCATACTTTTAATTGTTAATGTTATACTTTTTTTATATCTTAATTGATCATTATATCTTTTAATTTATTAAAAAAAATAAAATTTTGACAAAAACATGTAATAATATAAAAGTATAATAGGTAATTATATTAAAAAAAATGATATTAACTATTTAGAATGTAGTAATAATCTCACCCTTTAAAATATATGAAAATATTATTTTATGAGCTAATTTTAAATGTTAAATAATAAATATCACATGTTCTATTTATTGTCAACTAATAGTTACAACTATTAACTATTCTTAATAATCAAATTAAATATAATTATATTATATTTGTATGGCCCTAACAATTCCTTGGGTAGTCATAACCATGGTACTATAGCATTTTTAGTATTATTTGACAAATATTATAACATTCATTTTCTTTTTCTTCATATATCTCCCTTAATTTAATTAGTCGAATTTAAAAAATGAATACTTAATTTCAAGGAAAACATATATAGTAGAAAATTGTTCACTGGGGATACCCCATACCTTCCTTTTCCCTCGATGCCCACATTTCTTACCCTTTTTCCTCATATGATCAATCCAAACAAAATAGATTAATTAATGGGAAAGAAAAAGAGGCGAAAGGAGAAAGGAAAGGAAATAATATAAGGAAATTGTCTTTCTTATCTTCTTTTTGTGTCATGTTGAAGGTCGAAAATTAATTGGCCAGAAGACCATGACTCTAAAAGCTCGTCATTAATTACCAACCCTATCAAGTTGTTGTTTATTCAATGTGTTTATGGAGTAACAATTTTTTGACAGCTATAAAAGAAAAAAAGTTTTACTTGAAAGAATTGACAAACTCATCAAAGTAAAGGCAAAAAAAAAAAAAAAAGTGATGTCCAGAAGAAAAAATGAAAATCAAGAATGAAATTAGGAAATAAATTTATTTTATAAAATTACTCCCTCTATCTAGAATAATAATTTTTTTATTTAGAATTTTTATAAAATAATAGTTATTTTTATATTTAAAAAATATTTTTTTATTTTA